TACTGCAATCACCGCTAATGAAATATGAAATTATTCACAAGTGGGACTCCTCTTGCTAACGGTGCTGTCGCCGCAATTTGCATACCGTAAAGCTTGTGTGAGTACACAAAAGAGGAGGTCGAAACAGCTATTATGTATATATATCTCTACATTTATATCTATGTATAAGTATGGGCGTATGAATTTGCGTGCATACATATGCGTATGTGGGTATGTAAGTGTATTCTTTGTTGCGGAAAATGTAATTTGTCCGCGCCACCAGCAGCAGCTTCTTCATAAATGTTTAGTTTACTCACCCATTTGCTTAGCATGTCAATGCGCATATATTTGAATTTAATATTTTATATTGCTTATGCATGCGCGACTGCGATTTAGCCATAAAGTGTGTGCTTGTATTATTTTCTTAAATCTTACGGAGATATCACAGAAATCTACGGCACATAGGCGCATCAATGGCAAAACTAATTAGTAGAACAGATCGTAAGAAGTGGAACGGTTATTCGAAATTGACATACACTCTACAAAGAATAGAAAAATTACTGTTTTCGCGCAACCCCTATACTTCAAAATGTCTTTTTGACACAATATCTCAAAACTCGACTTTAAAACATATATTTCTGAAGAAAAGATTCGTTTTTTTGCTTGCTTCTCCCACCAAATTTTTCCTTCCAACTTATGCTCATTTTCTTTTTCTCTTTCAATCATCCTCTTTTTCTCCTTCAATCCCTCGTTATTTCGTCATTTCTTTCAATATTAATACCCTTCTTTTTCTCCATCCAGCTCAATATCTTTCTTCCCCGCTCTCTCTCAATCTACTTTCCTTTCTCTCTTCTTCACTCTCTTTCTTTCTAGAAATATTTCTGAAGGAAAGATTCGTTTTTTTGCTTGCTTCTCTCACCAAATCTGTCCTTCCAACTTATGCTTATTTTCTTTCTCTCCTTCAATCGTCCTCTTCTTCTCCTCCAATCCCTCGTTATTTCTTTCAATGTCAATGTCCTTCTTTTTCTCCATCCAGCTCAATATTTTTCTTCCTCGCTCTCTCTCAATCTACGTATTCTTTCCTTTCTCTCTTCTTCACTCTCTTCTCTCTAGCGATCTCCCTTTCTTACTCCAATTTTTTATCGTTAACTTTAGGGTGAATTTTGTCTATTTCATTTCCTACTAAGTAATCCCCTACCGCTGAAATATACTTAAGCCAACGAATTTTCCAGTCATCATAGTACTTGGAAAAATCCTCCGTCGTGATGGCCATCAGAGCCTTTTTCGGCTCACCTTTTAAATCCTCAATTGAGTCAAAACGGTGTTCTCGGAGTGGTTATGTGAATTTGCTGAATAGCCGGAAGTTACACGAAGGCAAATCTGGCGAATGCTGTAGTTTCGGAACGATATTAGTTGAAAATGTGGCGAAATGATCAGGAATAACCAATGCAGTATGAGATGGTACATTATCGCACTTCTTTTCTTTAATTAATTCATAAATAGTAAAATCGAAGAATTCACTTTTAGAGCCTCACAAAATGGATATTTTGATGTGAAACTTAACATACAGGTCAATAACAGTACTACCAACTTACAGAAAAAAAATTATGGCTTCGAAAGTTACGCGAAGTATAAATTAAAAATTCACCTTTCAATTAGATCACAGTAGTGTAATGCTTGAGATGATACCTATTCCATAAGCTACAGCCCCATTATAGATGAATAGTTTTAAAATGTAGACTAAAGAAGTAGAAAAACCATATTGTGGCTCAATCTATTTGCGTTCCATTTTTAGCCTCTTTGAGTACTCATAGTTGTTGTCTTGAAAAAAAAAACAACAATAAAAAATAAAAAAATGGTTGGTTGATTCGTAACTTTCACCAAGAGTCTACGAGGTTTAAGAACCAGCAGTAATTTTTAAAGAGTCTGAGATAAGTTTTGAGAAGTACAATTTCCCACCTATTTAAATATGCAATGTCATTAAATTCTTAAAATACAGAAATTGTACCAATTTGTATCAGTTAATAGTATCAAACTAAAGATATTGTATGTAGCGACACTAAGCTGAAGTAAATATTTTTGGGAAGGGTTGCCATCTGTTTATAACTTTTAATTAAAAAAAAATGATAAGACAAATGAATGTGGCAAATGACGTGCTCAATTCGACGGACGGAACAAAGTTTTCGCATATCCAACATTCGTTGCCACATGATTATTTAATTTTTAAAAATTATATGTATTTGAGAAATTTCTAATATTTAAAAATATTTTCATTTTCGATGTGGCAAAAATTATCTCTCTCCCTAAACTTCTTTCCTATCCTTGCATCGAAAGAACTTGATGATTACAGTTATTAACGAAATGGAGACGATACAATTAATTGCTCTCGTCTTAATCTATTGCTATAATACACCAGTTTAGTATTAACTAAACGCTTACCACCTAAATCAACTATCACCTAGTTGCTACTTAAGCTTATATATATTTTATATATGTATCTGTATGTGTGTGTGTGGCGCGTAAGATACATTAAAAGCAGGTATCATAACAGTGCGACGCCCATTGAATTTGGCTTAGCTGCATTGCCATTGACTTAGTTACGACTTTGCGGAACGATATGGCCTGCTGTGGCAAGTAGCAGTTTGCGCATGCGCCGCACATTAAGCCACACACATAAACTTTACGTGCCCGTATTTGTGCATTTAAGTGCCGCAACTTAGCAAATTTATTATTTTTATTGCTTTGGTCGCTTGTTTGGAACATACGCTGCCGCGCGCACACGTTTATTGTGCCATATGTTGACGCGCTATTGCTGTCATTAGGCGTGGAAATATTAACACACTACAGCAACAACAATCAGCGACTGTGGCTCCAACAACAGTCAATGGTTGAGCAAACGTGCAACCTTGCCAGATAGTCAATTTGCCGCCGCATGTTGTCGCCGCAGCTAATGTTAGTCAAACGTTTTTAAGCGTTGAGCACGTTTAGAGTTAGGTATTGTTTTTTTCTTGCGTTTTCTTGTGTTAAAACGCAGCAATAAAAGTAATTATGTAACTCTCTTCATACAGGCATGGTTTTGTGCTGAGAGTGTATGATAAAATAAGAGTTTAAAAAGCAAAATAGAATATTTTCATACAATATTTTATACCCTCAACCAAATAAAACGCATAATTGAACTCATTTTATTAGTACGTGTTTAGTTTTTATGAACGACTGAACAGTGTGGCCTACGAATATTTTTTCTAAACCACTCCAATATAGCATTTGTGCTTACTGTTTCTACTAGAAAATACAATTTCTGATGTCTGAATGCTACTGTTTAAGGATTTTATATTTTAAAGCATATAATTAATTTTCTCTGCCCTTCATAGAGATATATGCTTGTTTTAGGGAGTTAAGGTATTTTTAAAACAGGTATAAATGTTTAGTGGGGACTTTATTTTCCATATACTATAAATCCAAGTCCGCGCCGATATCCAGCGTTTTTGAAACTTGTCTCAAAAATTGTGAATCAGTTTAATATTTGCTTGCATATTTTGGAAATCATTGAACGTCAAAATGTTTATGTTTTGGAGGTTTTGCTTTCTTTTACTTTTCTTCCTTCATAAACTCGTACATAGGATACTTTGCCAGTCGTTTTGAAGAATCATGGCCATCATTTTATGTAGTAATTTTATATACTACATGCGCTTATACTTGATTAGGGGTAATAATTTTGCTGCTCAGATAAGAGAAACTGGCATCATATATCAAAGAAACCATCAACTATTATATATATGTACATAATTTTACAGAAACTAACATTCTTTAGTAAATTCAAGGTTATCTTAAGGTAGTTTAGATTCTTATCATTGAAAATAATCTAAAAAAGCTTTGATTACTTTATGGAACTCATCGCTAAAGTACTCATTGATGTCTAGGTGTCAACAATGCCTGTTAAACATCTTTCTTGCATACACTGATAAATGTCATTAAGGCAACGTTCCTTTCATCATCCACCACAATTGACAGTTGGTAATGCTATCCTTCTTTATCAATTTATGGTGAACTTAAAGCGCTTCGTAGATCAATCTCTTATTGGCGATTTTGCACTTAGGAAAGACAATGAACCAGTGATCATAGCTGTCTAAGTGTGAACTTCGATTTATCTTATCGTTACTTTATTTTGATTTTCCCAAAAAATTTTGACAATAATGAAGTGATTGTGAAAAAAAAATTAAGATATCTCTGCTTGTATTTAGAAATATTGGGATAATATTGGTAGTACCTCCCGAAATTGGGAGTTTATTCTTGAACTTTATGGAGCTTTAACTGAAATAATTTTTAATAACCTGATGAACTTTTGACATAAACTCTGAACTTGTGAACTGCATAGACCTCTAAATATATTATACTTTTTTCTCTATATAACTTAACTTTTTGTTCCGTTTTTTGTCTAATCTGTCAAAATGCGTCTTGTGCCAAATCTCGTAATTTTGCATTGCTAAAATAATTGAGTGCTTCAAAATAATTGCTTCCACCGCTAATCCATGGCATTGCCGCCAAATGCCGGAGCCTAGAATTTTCGTAGGCCAAAACAGCAACTGAATCAACAAAACACATTTTTCGCGCACATTAGCCATAAATTGAAAACGAACAAAATACCGGTATATGTATGTACATGCAACAACAGAATTTTCGTACACAACCATATATCCATATACACATGCAGAAAACAATATAATTCTAAAAATGCCAATTCCAATTTGAAATTTCAATTGCATGCATTAATCGATTGATGCCGAACTGATTGGCTGTGACCCCTGCTAATGTTGTTGTTGCCGCTGTTGCACCACCATTATTGGAAAATGTGGCGCTGCTGACCGCCAACCGTGGAACCGCCGACCAACAACCACCCGAACACCAAAATGTCTAACCATCTGCATGCGTACACATACTCACACACATATACACATACAAATATATACAAATATATATGTATCCACACATTTTCACGTTCATATTTGGCCGCCTCTCTACAGGAATTGACCACAAATGAGACCAGCATTGCGCTGACGAATTTGGAGCCGCACGCATTGTATCGCATTATGGTGGTGACGCGCGGACGTTATGGTACAGCGTTGCCATCGTCGATGTTGCTGATCAATACGACCGATGATGAGAATGGTGAGTGTGCTTTAAATAGATTACATATGTATGTATATGTATACACACATACTTATATGTATATAGAAAGTAAGACTAAGATAACTCTGAAAAGCTATGCATATTGATACAGTAGTACATGCCCTGTAGGAAATATAATATATAGCGTGATTTAAAATTTTTATTTTATTTACTATAGCGTAAAACACATCGTAATTAACGAAATCGACAAAAACTTATTTAAAATTTTCAGTATCATATTTGATCTTTATCAGGTCTTTGTACCTTGTATATAGTATATTATGTTTGCTACGTAGTTTGCAACACCCAAAAGAAAACGACGCAGGCCCAAGCAAAATTATATGTAAATGATCAGATTACGAGCTAAGTTGAGTTAGCCAGGCGCGATTGTCTTTTTTCGTCTGTACGTATGTATAAAAACTAGTCCTTCAGTTTTTGAGATATCGTTCTGGAATATGTTTTTTCTCCCCAAGAAGCTGACAATTCCTCGGAATGGGCGATATCAGATCACTATAGCGTATAGCTACCACACAAACTGAACGATATAAATCATGTTCTGGTAAAAAAAAAACGTTCGTATTTGCGATGTGTATTAAAGCTTCGGTGAACATTTTTTCTTATTCTTAGTTAATAATAATATGGGAAACTTAAACTAAGTGTTTTCTTGATTATTTAATCTCTTCGACTTGAACTGTGTAGTGGACGTGAGAGCGATTCAGCTCAATAAATATGTTTCCTCAAAATTATAGTTCGCCGACAGGCATTGTCACACACTCTAGTGAAATTTTGCCATGAAAAAGCTCCTAAAAAGACGTGATCCATTTGGAGTAGGCTTCAAGGCTTCTATATATCCTATTTGATATACCATAAATAAGGCATCAGCTGAATATTTTTATATATATAAAATGTCGGTTTTTCGCTTAAAAAAGTAAGATTTTATTTTACATATATAGACGAGAGTCGTAATTTCAATATATCACTATACCTCTCTCTCTCTGCAAATATTTTGTTACAGCACTTTCATATGCAAGCCGGCTCCTTTCAACAAACAATTTTTATTCTGATCAAATATCTCCCGAACTGACAAAAAAGCTAAATTTTGTGTACTTTAGTATAGATCTTTGTTACTGCCTTCAAAATAAGCTCCTGAGTTTTTTAGATATAAACCTCGGCAACGATAGCTTTTAGTGCCTGCAGAGAATTTTCATTTTTATGGTATCGGCGTATTTTGTAATACCTTTCGTTAGATTGCTGGATAGTCTGGACGTAGTGATGAGTTTGATAAATGTAGAGCTATGTTGTCAGGCATCTAGTTTCTGTCCTCTACTTGAAGCCGTTGAAATCTTTTGCTATTCAAGCACTGTTTCTCTGACTTTCTCGATGTTGTCATCATCTTATCGGTTTGATTCACTACAAATATCTATGCCAGATATATTTTTATCTAAAATATTTTTATCAAAATAGTTTTAAGCTATAGAAATTAAATCTTGGTATACTCGTATACTGTTTTAGGAATTTGAAACGTCGTTAGAATTAGACAAAGACTTTCTCGAAACAAAACGTTGAAATCCATCACAGACTCTAAATAATGACCACAGGGATAAACCAAACCTGACTTTCAAGAGAGAGAGAGAGAGTGAGAGAGAGATGCGAATCTCGCAGTTTGATCAGAATCATACAAAGGAAAAGTGAGAGCTGCAGTAGAATACTGTTAGAAGAGTGCAGCTAAATTCAAGTTGTCTATAAATCAGTGATGCCCAAACGCACACTACCAATCTGTGTGCTTGTGTTGTAGTATGAGAGAGCTTGCTGCTACACCCAAAAAAATACAAAACTGTAGTATTAACTAATATAAAAAAAATTTGAAAGTGATTCGACAACTTTTACAAAATTGTGAAATTAATGAAATTCCTTATTAATTTTTTATCAATAACAAAAATAAAGACAATTCACATGACAAAAAGAAATTAATCTACCTACCATGACTTGAGCACCATCAGTACATATGCTACTTAATTTAGTTATATCAAAGACTGCAAGCACCTTTGAATATACAGCATTATACAGAATGTTACCAGTCACATGGCCATGCATAGATACAACCGAAAGCAAGTCCATTTTTGTATCGAAGTTTTCATCTACCGTTTTTACATAAATAATTGGTTCACATCGAATATATCTGTACTCTCGTCAATACATATGGAATAATACTTGCTTTTTGCACCTTTCGCATAGTCATATTATAAATATGTCCGCCTATTACTTCAGTGCGTCGAGTTATAGTTGTCCGTGATAAAGGTATTGAACTGATAGCAGCGAAAACTTCCTGACCTATAGTACTGAAACATTGAAAAACCTTTTGACACATATCTTAAAAAAAAAAATCCATCCTCGAATGGTCTTCTCTGCTTTGCCAGCTCTAATGCAACAGCAAAACTAGCCTTTCGTTGAGCATAACGAACGCTTGAGTTTTCCCCCAATGAATCGTTAATGAATTGCTCATAAAACTGTTTTTAGTTGGCATATAAATAATTTTCTAGAACTGCCCGTTACCGATTCATAAATAGAATGGTTTCCGCTATAATGCCTTTTAACATAGTACTCTCTATGTTATGTGTTTACAAACTAAACACTGAGCATTACCGAAAAAGTTTTCGGAAAACAAAAGCTTGTTTTCCCACTCAATATCAAACATAGTAAAATTGTTAATCAGCGCGCACATACAAATTACATGCGTAGCAGTCAACAGTCGTTGATCAAGTGATTTTCAAATGCACATTAATTTTCCACAATGTNAAAATAACACAATGCAACCATTTTCCGGTTAAAAGTCGGCCATCTTGGTTTATCAAGAGAAACTCAACCCAGAACTCCCCTTGACGTTTCTACAGTGGCACCTCTCAGCTGTGGCTTTGTTTACATAACATCAGCTGATAGTGACTCTACTCCTCCTCTACCGTGGTTTGCAAAATTATGCAATTGCAAATATTTACCATCAACAATGAGCCACTTTTTTGTAGTTTCTGTATAACCCTTGCAATTCACAGGTGATCGGTGAAGAAAAACATTGTTTGTAAGCAAAATTTTCGCACATAATGGAAAATATGCCAAAAAAAAGTTTTAGGAAAAAATTAACTGACGCTTTATTTGATGCAGCTGCTGAAGAAATTATGAATATTGAACATATGACAAATTTCAAATTTCTTGTTTTTAATTTACAAAAATTTCTCCATTTCTTCTCTCTGGTTACAATGTTTTTATTTTTGACAGCAGCTGATAATTTGCAAACCAGTGGTGCAAATAATACAATGGCGTTTTAGTGTTGCTTATTTGCAAGGATATAGCATTTGCATCGCTAAACATTAGTGTAAAATAAAAAAATAATTCCACCAGATTCTGAATTGCTCTTACAAGTAAATCTACAAGTAAATCTATTAGTACAGTGAAATTTCGATAACTCGTATCTGCAAGGGGCCACAATTTAAATACGAGTTATGGAGTTTTTCAAGTTATCAAGTTATACAACTTATAGAGGCAACCTACAGAATATACGAATTATAGAGCTTTTTTTTATTTATTTTTTCAATTTTACATAAAAAACAAGAAACGGTTAAAAAATGTACTATGTTTTCGTCAAGTACGGTTTTTTGTGAAAAAAATACGAGTTGTAGAGGCTTTTGATACACATTTTTCAATTTTTTCCTCAAGAAAAATAGGAGTTATCAAAGTGACCGATATACATGCATTTTTCGCGAATTTTTATAGGGACCGAAGAAATAATATCAAATATCAAGGGTTTTCGCTTATCGAGGTTACGACTTATCAAAGTTTCACTGTACTGCAAACAACAACAATTTTCTGCTGGACTGATTTGAATCATGTGTGGAAAAAAATTTATCAGCTTTGAAGATGTGCGCATGTTTCAAATGAAATGGCTCGTTAAAAACAATTGAAGAGCGCCCATCTGCGGTGACAGAGGCCAAATCCATTATTTGTGGTGCGTGCCGCCTCCTGGTGGCCAACTGATGACTTAGATTCTCGTATGATTTACGAATTGCTCAATTGGAAACATTTTTTCGTCAGAAAACACAATGTTAGGAATTTGGCCGCTTTTGGAAAAGCGAAGCAACTGCTTCGTTCTCTCAAGTCTTACTTGTTGCTGATTCCGTGAGAGATCATGGGAATTTTGGGACTTGTAAGCTTGATTTTTCAATTTGCGTCGGATGCTGCGGCCGGATATTTTCAATTCTTTAGCCATTTGATTGGCACTTCGTCGTGGATTTCGCGCAAGTCGCTTCTTCACTTTTACAACCATCTCATGTGATGCTGCAGTCTGTTGCTGGCCACCTCCATGGAGTTTTGCTTTGCTACCAGTATCATTATAACGAGCGATGGTGCGATAAACAAAAACTTTATTCACATTAAGGTGTTTGAACTCACGAACAATTGCGGGCTGTAATTTTCCAGCTAAATATTAAGCCATCACACTTTTACGTTTGAATTCTATCGCTGATCACTTTTTTGCGATCACTTTTGGCAAAACGCTTTAGTACACTTGTGAACAATCCTGCGAATCGTCATTCAGCATTTTTATAAACAGCTGATTCTACTGCGACAGCTGCGCGAACGGTGTGAACTTGGTTACACTGCGAGTGCCGGACCCTGTAAATCAGTGTTTAGGGCAGTGATGCCCAAACGCACACTACCAAACTGTGTGCTTGTGTTGGAGTATGAGAGAGCTTGCTGCTACACCCAAAAAAAAATACAAAACTTTAGTATTAACTAATATAAAAAATATTTGAAAGTGATTCGACAACTTTTACAAAATTGTGAAATTAATGAAATTCCTTATTAATTTTTTATCAATTACAAAAATAAAGACAATTCACGTGTCAAAAAGAAATTAATCTACCTACCATGACTTGAGCACTATTAGTACATATGCTGATGTCTTTGATATAACTAAACAATTCACGTGTCAAAAAGAAATTAATCTATTTTGATATGATATTAATCCAATTAGGTAGATTAATTTCTTTTTGACACGTGAATTGTTTAGTTATATCAAAGACTGCAAGGACCTTTGAATATACAGCATTATACAAAATGTTACCAGTCACATGCCCGTGCATAGATACAACCGAAAGCAAGTCCACCTTTGTATCGAAGTTTTCATCTACCGTTTTTACATAAATAATTAATTGGTTCACATCGGATATATCTGTACTCTCGTCAATACATATGGAAAAATTCTTGCTTTCTTGCACCTTTCGCATAGTCATATCATAAATATGTCGGCCTATTACTTCAGTGCGTCGAGTTATAGTTGTCCGTGATAAAGGTATTGAACTGATAGCAGCGAAAACTTCCTGACCTATAGTACTGAAACGTTGAAAACCTTTTGACACATATCTTTAACAAAAAAATCCTTCCTCGAATGGTCTTCCCTGCTTTGCCAGCTTTAAAGCAACAGCAAAACTAGCCTTTCGTTGAGCATAACGAACGCTTGCGTTTTCCCCCACTGAAGCGTTAATGAATTGCTCATAAAACGGTTTTTTTAGTTGGCATATAAATAATTCTCTAGAACTGCCCGTTACCGATTCATAAATAGAATGGTTTCCGCTATAATGCCTTTTAACATAGTACTCCCTACTTCGGTTAGTTATGTGTTTACAAACTAAACACTCAGCATTACCGAAAAAGTTTTCGGAAAACAAAAACTTGTTTTCCCACTCAATATTAAACATAGTAAAATTGTTAATCAGCGCGTACATACAAATTACATGCGTAGCAGTCAATAGTCGTTGATCAAGTGATTTTCAAATGCACATTAATTTTCCACAATGTATAGAGAGCGCTTGACTAATACGTGTGAGCGAATCTGTGAGAGAGCAATAAAGTCGGCCGCCCGCGGGATAGGTAAAGCGCTTCACTGCTATAAATACGGCCACGCCTGTTATTAGAAATAAGTAAAGTGATCGTGAAAAATAATTAAAAATATGTGCTTTAAGATTGGCTAACACTGAACTAAAACGGATGCAAAGTTATGTATAGAATTTCTTAGTAAGATTTTGAAATGGCAGAGTAAATTAATTTTGGAATTAAAATATCAAATTTTGGCTAGTATTTATTCTATTGCGAACTTCATGTCATTTTACTAATTATATTCTAGTCACTCAAGGTGTATACGCAATTTATGTCCTTTTCAACTATATCTGATTTACTATTAGAGGATTGAGAACATTTTTCCTACTGGGTAACTTTTTGTCAAACTAACACACAAATACATAAAATTAAATAGAAACATTTTTGAGAATATATAGCTAGCAAAATATTAGTGACGACCAATATTATAATTGGTTGGCTTATTGTGCTGGTTTTTAACAGAATTTTTTTTTTAAATTTTTCGAAATTTGCATTCTATTTCCGCTAACTTCAGCATTACTATTTTCAGCAATGTTACATGGTCTTGCTTACTAACAAAAATCTATATTTTCTCATTTCATTCATAGTCACAAACAAGAATAATACCTATGGTGCACCCTCTCCGCCCCACTCGCTTTCGATTACATCACACAGCGCGACCTGGATGCAATTGACTTGGCAGCCACCAGAATATTCGCATCCGCATGAGAAGATTACCTACAGGTGAGTGCCAATGAATGGGTGAATGACAGAGTGCAAAATATCAAATGCTGATAAGAGATTTCATAGAAATCAGCTAGTGTGACGGAAAATGTTATTATGTAATAGAAAATTATAGCAAAAGGTGAATATTTCATTAGAGTAATGGATTGAGTAGTTGAAAAAAAAAATATTCATATTTATTTGCAGTAGATAAACAGCCAGAGAGAGACGGCTGAAGTTCATGGTGACATCAATACTGATAATTGTAGATAATCTCAGCTTGATATTTTTTTAATGAGTTAAAAGTATTATAAATTATTTCGAGTTTGACCTTTATTAAGTAATATCTAAAGTTATCCAAATAGTTACACGTCCTGAATATCAGTTAGGTCTGAAAATTTCAGCTTAGTTCGATAGTACTAAATTTGAAGGTCTCAAGGAGACCAGATTACAATGTTGGCAATGTGAATCCATTTCAAAAATATTTTTGTTTGTAACGTTTGAAGAACTCAAGGGTAAATTTTACGAATTTTTCTTTAATATATGACAAAACTATACTCCAAAGTCGATTAAGTTGAACAACTTAGGCTAGTTTCGAAAAGTCATTTTCATCATTTATGAAACAAAACCCCTAACTGTAGAAATAAAGTCGAGGCCTATCTATCTATCCTCCATGTTCCATATTAGCACTGGGTTGTAAGCCAAGCCTCCTTCACATATTATTGACCCCATTATCCTAAATAAAAGCTTCATAAATGGTCCTTAGGTATTATATCCCATATATATTATTCCAGAAAGGAGCTGACACTTTCTAGGGAAACAATTTGTTTGTATCTCGTAATAAAGTTACTAAGTTCAACATGTGGCTGGAACAACTTGAGTCCAATAATATGTCTGCGTTTGAGCTTTGAGCTCATCTCTGTAGGATCTCGATGTTTTGCTGATTTATTTGCATACAAATGGTATTGTCAATGCGAAACAGGCATTCCTAGTTTAGATTTTGAAGATGGTCGGATCAACCTTTGATTCTATCTAAAAGTGTTTAGAAAATTAATAGAGTTTGGATTTGGATATTATAACCATATGAGGAATTATTTATATGGTCTTGAATCTTAGTAATGAATTATTGACATGATATTATTCGTTCTTCCCGTATCCCGTCTTAGAGTCTACCACAAACCCATGAAATCGGAGAAGTTCAACAAAATCGAAACTAAAGTAGCATGGCTCCGTATGAGCAATCTCAAACCCAGCTCACAACATATACTCTACGTCGAAGCTATTGGTGAGCATGCGACATCTCTGCCTTCCGAGACGCTGGTGGCTTGGACCGACCCAGCGTTGCCAGCATTCGTGGATGTAAGTGAGAAATAGTGAGAGAGATATCTACCTACTACATAAACTTCGTTTTCACAGCCGCCAACAGTACACCCCGCCGATAACATCCCCGAAGGCGGTTCGATGACCATACTCTGCTTAGCCTTGGGTAATCCGGCGCCAACTATTTCACTCTACGTCGGTGGACATTTGGTGCGTCAGGATACGTCGAGACACATGGTTACAGTAATACATAATGTTACTGCTGACATGGAGCATATATCCTGCTATGCAGACAATGGTTATGGTGTGCCTATGCAGGCCACAAGAAGAGTCAATATTTGCTGTGAGTTCTCAAAGACTTCAAACTGAGTTTTGTGGAACAAAAACTTATTTTTTTACCTTACAATTCTTTCTTAATTTTTAGATGCACCAAAAATTACCGCCGCCGGCATCACCGTCGCCTCGTTGGGCGATGAGGTCGAGCTGCGTTGCACAGTCGATGCGAAACCAACACCGAAGACCATCTTCTGGCGTGATCATGACGGCCGCGTGCCCGTCATACAGGGTGGTCACTTCGATATCTCAACTAAAATGAATGAATCGCATACAAATCTTTACACAATGTCGCTGCGCATCAATAAAATGTTGGCGACGGATGTGGGCGATTACTTCTGTCATGCGGAAAATGCTTTTGGCTCCGCCACGTCGGCGGTTTCAGTGCGCATACGAACCACACCCGCGCTGGGACGTAATGTATCCGAGTGTTGTCGTCAAATGAATGTATCCATGGCCTGCCGTGCTGCTTGCAGTTATTACGTCGATATCGAGGCGATCGCCGACAAACCCGAGTGTATTGTGGACTTTGATAAGCTGATGAAATGCGCGGCGGACGGTTCCGATCACCGCAGCTGTTGTGCTGATGCGAATGTGCCGCGGAAGTGTTTGAATTGGTGTCGCGGTGATTCGGTGCGTTCAAAGGAGATATGCAGCCTGCAATACTCGCGCACAATTGTTGGCTGCTTTGAAATGAACAGGGATAAGCTGCCGGGACCACCGGAGAATATTGCTGTCAGCGTTATGTCGGACAATGAAGTCATGATTAGGTGAGTAGTGTAATGATGTGTGAAATTGGTAGGGTTGAATAGTGATAAAAATTGGGAAAAGTTTAGAAAGAACAGGCTATAAAATCAGGAGATGAATCTATAAATCATGAATTCGAAGTTCTGAAATTGAAGGTCACATTTCGGTCTAGTTTTTGATTGTGATGACTTGACCTTATCTTCGACGATCTTCTGAGAAACTTTCAATGAATGGATTTAGTTCTTGAATATTTTACCAACAATTCATTTACTGAGGGATTTTCCGGAATAAGTACCTATATTTCATAAATAGTTTTAAGGAGAACTGAGGAGTTGACAGTTCTTGTTCAGTCACATAAAGCCCAAAGTCTCATTCGAAAAATTACTATGCACATCAAATACTTTATTCAATTACCTTACAAATTCTTTCTTTAATTTCATAGATGGGATCCACCACAAAAGAACCCCAATGTGGTTGAAGGTTATCGGATATTTTACCATGAGGCAGCCATACTTGCAGGTGATTCCAGTGAGTCTAGCGGTGATGGCATGACCTACAATGCAACAACACTGCAAAATACCACCGAAATTAGACGCCTTGATGTGAAAGAGACCACGGTGAATATAAATGGTTTGAAGAAGGATGTGCTCTATGAGCTGGTGGTGAAAGCTGGCAATTCTTTTGGTGAGTTCAGTCACAAGACTATTGAATAATAATATTATACATGTTGCTACAGAATATAATAAGTTTGTTCACCTAACGGTTGTTTGTATCATCTAAAATTAATCGAGATTTATAAAGTATTATATATAATATGTATATAAAAGCATTACATTTAGTATGCTATAACAATAACAACAACAATGTCATTAAATCAAAATTATAAAATTGTGTTTGCAGGCGCTAGCGTTCTCACCGAACCAGTTAAATTCACGCTCGGCGATCATCACGTCACCTCAGCGACGACATATTCAAATGCTGTCGGCACCATCAGTGGCATTGTGGCCAGCATTCTGGCTGTGCTATTAGCGGCAGCGGCCATTGTGTTTTATCGGCGTCATCGCGCACGTAACGGTAAGGCTGGTAATGGTGTGGCTTTCGAAAATCCAACATACACACGCGGTCTGGAGCAAGTTCAGGTGAGTGCGGATAACGGGAATTAAATTATGCTGCCATAAATATGTGTGTAGTTTTGTATTAGGTACTTTGGATGTTGTATGTATCTATGTGTGTGTGTGCTGGTATTGAAAGTGGATAATTGTTTGAGGTTACGGTTGGTTACGGTGAAGAGTTTATGGCATATAAGCAAGTCAATTGTGGGGAAAAGCAAATGTGTGTCGAAATAGTTTTGGAATTGTGCACAAAATAATATTGAATAAAATGATATATGGAAAATGTGAAAGTGAAAAAGTAATCTGTGAAAGTTTTGAAAAAGTTAAATTTCTAAATATTCGAAATATTATTTTACCAGAGAAACCATATATAGCGTCTACTAAAGTGATTTTGATTAATATCAAAAACCGTTATATATATATTATATAGAATTTCTAAAAGGATAAATCTATATTCAGTTAGATTAAGAAAAATAAATATTCTTTATGAAGAAGTTGGACCATCATCACTATCGCCATTTTTGGTAATGAAATGTTCGAAATCGAAATAATAATTTGGAGGATGATTGAACAACTTATAGTTGATGCTCCACCAACTATTCCTCAAAAAATATTCTTTTCAAAGCCTTGGTTAATCTTTCATTACAACCTTTTGGTCGGCATTGTAAAAAAAATGTTTTTTTATAGCTCAGAAACAAATAATGGCGAAGAGTGTGATGCCTGAGGTATAAAGCAGTCTTCGAAAATATTAAAATAAGGAAGTACTATACATTATTAACTTTCTTTGTTAAACAAAAAAAAAAAAAAAAAAAAAAATATATAAAAATATAAATGATTCTAATATTAAAGATATATACAATTTTTATTAAAAATTATACTCAAAATCCCCTTAGACTTACGAAATTGAGGGTAATAATGAACAAAAAAGTCTTGTGATAACAGAAAGTCGACATTGAAGCGATAGTGTATATTTCTTCTGAAACAATTTGTATATAAAGAGGCAGTTGAGTTTAAGTAAATAGAAATAGATCCGAATTTAAATCCGCATGAACTGCAGCCCACCTGAAAACATTTTGTGAAATGGTTCCCCATAAGTTTGTAGTAGTAATCGGTATTACCTTTCTTTAAAGAAATATATTGACATCACAATCCCGAACCGATTGCAGATATGTGCAATGAATACAATTATTATAGATATTATAGATTTATTGGATTCACGTAAGCAGTTATCATTTTACTGATAACAACTGTCAGATTTAAGGAAGCTGGGTACATTAAAGTGTTCATACTATGACCTTCTAAAACTCTCTACTTTTTTGATAGCATCTTTCAAAATTTAGATCTCTTTGTCGCAAAGTTTACTCTTGACAGCTTCATATACCGACGCGAGACATCTGGATAGGATGAAGCCATTAGAGAACAAGAGCAGTAAGTTTCTAAGGGATGATTCGAAGCTCTGAGGAAAGGTTAGAGAAGAAGTTTTTATTGAACGAGCTCTACCTCAAATATATTTTTAGAATACGGGTTTACCGTAACGTTTTTTCCGTAAAGGTGGCTGACAACAGTAAATTTTTTGACCACTATTGCCTCCTTTTTCAATTCCAGGTATTGAGTTTTTAAGGTTGTAATCCACTACGATTGTGAAAAAAATATGAAATACAATTTTGTGGAAATAAAACCAATAAATAAAAATAAAATTCAAATAAATAAAAAATAATTTCAAACGTTATATATTTGTTTATACAAGTTAATATCTATAGCACAGAATACAATTCGTGAGTTCTGAAAACCTACCCACAATATCCGACCCTTCTTGGGAAGCTAATTTAAAGATAAAGATGAATAAGCGATACATTACGGTATATTGTCTATAGAATTTTAATTGTCCACCGAATTCTTTATGTTTCAAAAAGAAAATGTTTCTAAAAATTTTGTAAATTTCCATTCTTCTTTCTCTTTCATAAATATAATATTTTATTTTTATGTAACGCGGTATACCAAATTTTTATTTATACAATTATTTAATACAAACAATCAAACTAAATTCCATGCAACACTTTTACTGTGCTTATGCAACAAAAAAAAAAAAAAAAAAAAAAAAAAAAAAAAAAAAAAAAAAAAAAAAAAAAAAAAAAAAAAAAAAAAAAAAAAAATTGTTAACGCAAACACGAAATGACCCAAAAAGTGCGTAAAAGCAACCTTTTGCACATTTATTGAAGCCGTAATAAAACAATGAAGAGCAGAAAAGTGTGGTGAAAAAATTCAGCAAATCCCCCATTGAATAATTTTCAACTGCAATATTTGACTTTGTTTGCGTAAATGGTAAAGCTGCAGCTGCAGCAGCTTAACCGGCCGCTTAAGCCCATTTACATAACTTACAGCAGGAATAAACGCCACATGAACATATTGCTCTGATGCCACACACAAGACGAAGCACACATGGAACATGATATAAATACATATAATTGTATATGGGTGTGTGTATGAGGACGTGCGTAGAGCGAAAATAAATTTTTTTTATGTTTGTGGATTTGTTTTCCTTGCTTGTATGAGCATCATATATAACCGTATGAATATTGACATCTGCTGTGGAGTATCCCGGTGTTGACCTGGTATTTAACGTTTTTCATTACGGGTGAAAATTATATTAGCTTGGTTTCAACAAAGCTCAAACAGTAAATAAGGATAGTAAAATTTATAACTAAATACTTTAAGATTTTAGTTGATTTTTGATACCTTAGATATGTAGAAAATTAATAAACAAAATATTTAAATACAAAAACTTTTATAGTTTGAATAGTAGAACTACAATTTTAGTAGTGAATTTAGAAAAAATGCAATCAAATCAAGATCATATAAATAGAGAAACAAAAAATTTGAAAAAACACGTTTAAAAACTAGATTTTACCCACAATTATCCATGAATTTCTATGTCATAAAATTCGTTACGATTTGAAAAGAAAAGCAAACAATCCAAAGAAGTAGGTTTTCAATTTAATTTCGAAAAAAAAAAAAATTCTGAAAATTATATAAAAAGCATCCAGGTGATTCAGTTCCAGATGAAGCTCATATAAGAGTTTTAACTTTGTAAAATATTAAAAAATGGCCACACATTTTAAAATAGTGGTACATTCGAAATTATAACTAAATAATGTTATGCATATTATATTAATTTTTGATTAAAGAAATATCAAAATTAATGAAGAAACACACTACAATAGTAACTTATTGTACTCGTCTGGAGTAAAAATTTTTATATGGAAGGCAAGTCACAACTCAAGAACAAATCGACGTGAAAATATAACAAGTTTATAAGTATAATGAACCGAGCTAAGCGCAACCAGTAAGTGTGACCTAGGTTCGCCGAAAGTCAGGTCTAAGTAACGAAAATGATTCTACGACTTCAAATATGGTTTAGAGAGTTTTTCGTAGCTAAAACCACAATAACCTCAGATCGATCTTTGTTCGCAATAAGTCCAAAAAATTTGTGTCCTCTAACATATAATATAATTTTTTTTTTTTAATTTTGTCAGCAGCACAAAATTAATTAATTTGTTTTGAAGATAACTTTCAAAATCGAAAGATTCGCCTTTGGGTTTTGAAATTCAGGTTACTGAAGACGCGATTACTAAAGAAATAAGAATATAGACACCATCCACATTTTTCTTTCATTTCAATGATTTTTAGCACATTTGTTCAAATCTATACATATGATAAGATTATTCCAAGAAAAAGTCGGACGTTTTCTGGCGAAATCATTTTTATACCAAAAGTACAACTTTGAAGCATTATAACGTCAGGAAAGTATTATACAGCATTAATCCGGCCTATGGAATCGGAACTGCCCCGATTTTTATCTTTTCGAAGACTGTTCCGCATAGCACTTCTCGAAATTACTTTATCAATGTTTTCTGTTGCTACAACAAGAAATTTTATTAATTTTACGATTCGTTATTTCGTAGAATTTTTTTTTTTATTAAATAAAATTTATATAAATTAAAGAATTCTATGAAAATAATGTTTTTTTCCTGTGGTTGGAAAACTAAGTTTTAGCTCCAAAAATAAATAAATAAATTACATTTGTTCATATTTCTTTATATAAGCATACATTTTTATGTAGTCGAAGTGCACAAAAAATTAAAAATTTCGAAAAATTTGAAAAAAATAGCATCAATTGTATTATAGTATACAAATTTGTATAATAAAAAAAGGTTAAAATAAATAAAGTTTTCGACAACTTAACGCAAACACATAAAAAAAAATTAAAATAATGAGAAATATCTCAAAATCGTTTAAAAATTTCGAAAAAAAATAAAATTTTGTAGAAAATATCAATACATTTTTTAAATATTTTTTTTTTTTTAAATACATATTTTATATTAAGCATGCATTTTTTCCTATATAAATATCGCTTCAGATTTTATATTCGTATGAAGAAATAGCTGGTGTGAAACTTAAAAATATGACAGTTTGATTCGTAGTCATTGTTTCCTGTGCTGGAACGATTAATTTCATGGTAAAACATAATTTTTTAAAATGCGTAGTATACCCTTGAGTGCTTAGCGTAAAAATGCTTTACAAGCCATTAAACACAAAAATGTTAAAGACATGGGGACTTATTGTCTGCACCACTGAAGCTATTTTGCCATATGACGCGCGGATTTAGATTCAATGAGTAATTTTAAAACTTCTTTTAAACCATTTTGAATAATTGTTTAAAGTACTTGTATTAATTCTTTTTAATAGAATATTTATATATTTTAGCATCTAAATTTTATGCGTCAAAATTTTCAAAATACTGAAATTTTACATTTAAACTCCCACAATTTTTGAAAACGATTGGCAAACAATTTGCTTTTAAAGTATGCGACCCAAATTAATTTGCATGTATGCCACATTCCTTAACCTTTTTTGTGTATGCATGTATGTGTGAGAGTGGGTTAGAAAAAAATAAAAGTTACAAAAACGAGAAAAAACTAACCTATGCGTTAATACGCATACAAAAACGCTTTGTTTTTTCTTGTTTT